TGGGGAAAACGGATCGTAGAGAGAGTGCGTCGTGATTGGTTCATTAAGGAGCGATGCTCACGTTGAAGTACGCATCAGCTCCGCCTCTCGTGAGCAGGGGCTATAAAAGGGGATGCACACAGGCGTGAGGGCAGGGTGTAACCAGCGAAGAATGAAGACGGGGATGAAGACCTAGGGCCCTGCGGTACCTAGTCCCGCTGTCCTAACGGGACCGGGACTCTGTGTAACCCAGAGGCGAGTGTAGTGTGTGTAGCCAGAGGCGTAAGGTCTACACGAGCCGAATGCAGTGTATTGTGTAGCCAGGGACATAGGGTCTACACGAGTCGAGTGTATTGTGTAGCCAGGGACATAGGGTCTACACGAGTCGAGTGTATTGTGTAGCCAGGGACATAGGGTCTACACGAGTCGAGTGTATTGTGTAGCCAGGGACATAGGGTCTACACGAGTCGAGTGTATTGTGTAGCCAGGGACATAGGGTCTACACGAGTCGAGTGTATTGTGTAGCCAGAGGCGTAGGGTCTACACGAGTGAAGGGTATCGTGTGTAGCCAGAGGCCTAGAGTTTACACGAGAGTAGTGGAGTGTGAAGTCGGAAGAAAGGAGACTACACGTTGTATTTTGATACGTAAAGATTTAATAAAAGTGTGTTCCCGTCAAGAAGTTCCTGCCGTCAATTCCCATACTTCACATACAGAGATGTAATGGATGAACGTGCATTCTAAAACTCGTGTAAACTGTCACTTTTATTCACTAACCTAGGTGCAATGGCTCAAACACATGAATAAGGTTAACCACTCTGAGTCGCGTCGTTACGAGAGGTACATTGCACGTGCATTTACAGCGCCGTCAGTGCCGAGTTTATACAGCCCTTGTTAACATGAACACGGAAATTATTACCATCATCATTACAATCAACATTGGTATCATCTCCAGGTGTTTCGGGTTGTTAGCTACTGCTTACAACCCGTTTGTAGTTCCTCGGCGATTGTGAGATGCAATTTGCATGATTGACATGACAGAATATTGCTGTGAACATTATCCCAATCTTCAGCATCAGTCATCTTGTCCACGCATGCATCAATAACGAAATGATTAGGGCGAGCTTAGAGCAATGATAAGATGCTCTCAACTTTGTGCTGAGATTTGGAAAAATATTGGGGAATGGAGGCATGGAGCAAGGTATTTTGTTCATGGTGTTTGCATAATTTAATATCCAATATCTGATTCATTAAATGTACATGGGGAAATTAATTACACCCTACTGTTGAGCAAAAATGTATTTCACGTTTTGACGTGCGCATATGTATAACTTGGCTCCAGATTCATGTGTTTGCATGTTTTGTCAATAATTCACAGTACACACGGTGCCGATGTGGGTTAAGACTAACATTTTAATATTAAAACAGAGATAATTACACCTGTTATTATGGTATTACAGTAACAATATTTATCACAACATGCAGACATAACCAAATGCTACATTAGGTTTATTAACAGCTCACTAATACAAACAGCACAATGTGTGGATCATCTTCAGCTGTAAAAGTAGGACAGCAATTTTCCCCACGTGATGGGGAGAGGGGAGAGATGCTCAGGGAAACAAATCGTTGTTGATGTAAATAGATATAATGGGCCCATTTAAACATCGTGAAGCTGCCACATTTTCTTAAAATGCCATCTTCAGTGTATGGTAGACGAGCTTTACTACCCGGCTTCCCCCGAGACTTGGATTCTTGTCTTGGATTAATACACGGCCTACGCGGAGGGTGGGGGGGTGCGTGACGTCAGCAGGCACACTGCGTAACGCTGCCGCATGCGGGTGACATCACAAATGTGACATCACAGATGTGACGTCACCACTCACTTGCCGTGCAAAATATATTCATTATTGCGCCCTCCCCCCCTCCAAAAAATGCAAAAGTCTATTTTTATACTTTTTGCATGGTGTACAGTCTGGAAGCTACCCACATGACAAATTTAAAGTTTGTTGCATGTCGGGAAGTACGCTAAACATTTCGAACAGATACACATTCACAAGTTTCCCTTTCATATTTATAGATAAAATTATTGTTTACAAATGACTAAATTTGCATGTGTGTGTATGTGGAACCAGAGCCCCACAATCCGGATTCAAATTCTGAATATGTAAAACGCCTGCAGCAATTCAGATGCGAGTCTGCCCTGGGATCCTCTTGGGCATCTCCGTCTAAAACGCAGATACGTTTGGCAGCAGCGTATTGGAGGGACGAAGGCGGCAGTGTGTAGTCTTGGCCCCACCACCTCTTGTGTTGTGTTGTCTGTAATATGTGTTCGCTAACAACACCTGCCCTAGTAGTCTATAAAGCAAAAAATAGTGAAAATGGTACATTAAGGACAGGCAAACCAACATCTGCAAATCAACTAGAGTATCCATTGCATGCCATAATTTCTATGAGCAAACGTCTCTTCTACAGGAGCCTCGCATGGGAGTATTTTCTCTCCTGCTGTATATGATAGTGGACAATATATGTATTTAATAATTATTTGAAGAGTGGTAAGACTCCATATTATGGCAAATGTGCTATGTATGATACGACGTAGCAAACATGTCACATAAACCCATCTCTGCAGAAATTAGAGTGGTATTTTCAAAAGTTGTGTGGGTTTTCTCTGGGCAAGCCAATTTCTTCCCATAATATTCTTTGGGTCTTTTGGTAAAGCCACGTAGAAAAAAAAACAATTAAACATCACGTGTCGATCGCAACACAAGCAATCGTCTTCAGGTGAGAGAGAGAAAGCTGCTGAGACAAGGTCTTATATAGGCCTGAGATGTGTGCATCAAGGTAGATAACTGATTTCACTAGAATTCAACTAGCATATTTTCAAGCCGGACTTTGCTGATGAGACCTTGCGTCAAAACCAGCTCAGAATTTGCTTGTGTTTCACTCCCAGTAAGCCTTGCAGTTGACAGGAAAAAAATACTTTAATTCTTGATGTGCAGGGACAGATATGTATAGGAGATTTACTGTAATTTATTTTTTATATAGAACTATGGATCTGCTGGTCTCCAAAGGTAACGGCATTCGGATATGGGGGTGATGGAGGAGAGGCACTGCACTGCCGTTCACCTGCGTAGAAAGTGATTGAAATGGTGTGCTGTCTATAAAATAAACTCAACATGTTTCCCAACAACTCTTTAAAAAGTCTGAAAACAGGATTAGAATTCAATAAACCACACTAAACATGCAACGTATTTTTCATAAATGTTTGGAATGTTTCATCACTTAAATATAACTATATGCCCAGTTCCTTATGATTACATATTTAAATAACATAGCAATTGGATTACATTTACCACAGTCTAATTACACTTTAAAACATATTTTGTTAAGGGGACTGAACATAAGCTTAGTTTTAAGCAAACACCTACGGTACTGAGACTGCCACACTCCACACATACGTTTCTAGACACGTCGTTGAAAGCATAACATGCTCCATTCAAACTTAACGCGGCGGTTATCATAGAGGTGGTGCTGATGAGTTGACAGGAGTAATAAGGCTCTGATTTTGGTTCGGTTATTTTAGTAAAATTCAAGACTGACATGTAGGAGAAAAAAACTATTCACAGAAAGGTCACAGAATAACATGAGATGGTGCCCCATCTGAAAACGTGTCTTGTATGATAAATATCAATATGTATTTAAGTTAAAATCCTAAAAAGAAAGTTTGTAAACGTTTTAAAATACATAAAGTTACCAATTTGAGTATTTTTTACATTTCAAGTCAATGTGAATATAACCGTTTTAAAAATAATAAAATAACGGGGACACAGTTCTTATGGGGATAACCATATGGCCCCATCCCTCCTCATGACGCCCCTCACACGTCTGTCTGTGCAGCACATGCAGTACAGCATTTTTTAAAGAAAAAAAGTAAGTACCTCATGAAATGTTTCCACAGCTATGTTTAAGATGTCATAAACTTTAAATTTATGATTTCCGTGACCACTCCGTGACTTCCATGCAAAAACTGGAGCCTTCCTGTGTGACGGTTGGAAGATGAGATTCATCAGTAACCACTGGATGCACCAAGTGATAAACAACCTCACTATGTTGTCACTATTCACCCTGCCTGTGCCTGACAACAGTGTTTCTCTTTTTTGGCCCGCGGACCACTCAGCCGATGCAAATATTTCCACGGACCACCCAGCCCCCCACCCCTAGTGACAAAACGCAATCACTTCTCTGTCTAAATACCAGGAATACAAAATGAGTAATTTTACCGGAACATAGAAAAAAATTGAAACGCAGCTATAAGCAGTTTTTTTATGGGGGCACACTTTAAGGACAGTCCAATGTTTGTGGGAAATGCTCCTTCTTCAAAGCAGACAGAATAATTACCTGACAAAAAATGAGAAAGTATCACGCTATAGAACATTTGAAATACAGATATATTTCGTGATAAATTTGGATTTTGCAAATCTACTGCTGAATGAAGGCAGCCCCATAATGGTACAACTTAACCAGTATGCACCTCCAATTGTTTTGTTATTGCTTGACAAAATTTATTTTGGTAAAGTAATTTTTTAGCAATTCCATTCATTTTTTATAGTTATATCAAATATGGAAAATGAAAAGCAAGTATAATCCTATTTTATGAAGCTCATATAGTTTTACCAATTCCCAAGATTTTCTTTATAAATTCAGTGCCTTAAATATGGAGATATTTCTGTTGATATATATTCCAAAAGCACGTGAGGGCAATTTAGCTCGGATTGGTCCAGCATTGAAATGCAGTGAATTTCGTGGCATGCATGACTTAGATGCTTGCTGTGACAACTAAGGGCCCGTCCCAGAATAAATGATATTGTATGTAGATGTCGAGACTTTCTCTGTTCTAAGATGTAAATGGATCTCATGGAAATTGGAGTGCTTGGTTAATCTTCTGGAGTGAAAAGCGTGATAAATAACATTTTATCAAATGAACCTTATGGCAGGACCCCGGGGTCCCATAAGCCCCCGGCTATTGCATAAACTGCGTTGTTGAAGGTGAACGATACGGAAATCTATTCCTCTCGACGAGCTCTACACGATGTGCTAATCAAAGTTTCAAAGTTTTGTTTCTTCTGCGCATTCGTCCTCGCTGTGCTTGGAGGACATGACAACAGAATGAACCGCGCCAGGTGGGTCGCGGCGTTTATGTGCGCGGAGTCGTCAAAAATAAATGAATTAATTATGATTTTGACTTCCGTTTATTCGGGACCCCGGGGTCCCGCCATAAGGTTCAAATATTTCTGATGTCGAGTTTATTTATTCACACCGGGGATGCCCCATGCTATGTCATGTATTATGCACGAGGCAGTGGCTGTGGTTTAGATATTTAGCCACAGCCACAGCATCAGTCACAACGAACTCGTCATACCAAGAGGCTCTTATCTGCCATCCTTCATATAAACGTATCGAATAAACGGGTACAAATTTACATCCACTAACCTCTGCTGGTAACAGGAACTATGGTTGAATGATTATGGATGAGAGTGGTTTTACTGTATCTCAAGATGTCATCTGTAAGAGGTTGCTCAAAGGGAATTGAAGAGTGGACAGTGAGTTGGATGATTGGATACTTTTGGCCGAGGGAAAGAAGCGGAAGAAGGCGTATGGTAACTACAAATGTATACAGCAGTGGGACAGGGGTCGTCCTGAGTTCTCTCAGGTCTTGGTGTCTTCTCCCAGCACAGGGAGGGATAGATCACAGCGGCAACGCTCTCGTGCTGCTACGCCGGCGAGCAGCGCCTCCGTCTACACACACCATGCAGGGCACCATCGACAGGATTAGTCTATGAGACCAGACCAGATATTTCATATGTCTGTACCAACTGAGGTGTTTTTTTCAAGAGTAGTTTATGAACAAGACGATTCAGGTGCACACAGAGGATGAAAGGAGATTTACACCAGCACAAACACATTCTGGATTCCAGTAGAATGGAAACCTGTCTAAACCGCATGTTTCAATAAACTGATTCAATACACTGTGCAACTCTGGTGTCTTTCTAAGCTCTTATACTCTTGTAGAAGGGAAAAAAGGGAAGGGTGGGGGAAGGGGGGCTAAATGCCCGAATGAATGATCTTAAGAATCAATGCCCACTGGACCACCTGAGGTGTTATAACAAATAATTAACTCTTATTAGCCATAAATAGGTTGGTACCATTAAAATGTTGTTTTGTTAAATGGTATCCCTTTCTGCTCTGGCCCAAGGACTAAACTAAACTGAGCAAGACCACTGGGCATTTCAACATTATATAGAATAAACATCACTATTTTGCTGTACAGATAACAGTAATTCAAACGTTAGTAAAAAAATATTCAAACCTACCTTCACGGATATTAAGCAAGGCTGTTTGTACATTTATTATTATTTCAAGTTAACGTAGAAATCACCAAACTTAGTTAAAAATTGTTTAATTTAGAAAATTGTGCTTTATCAAGGCATGGTCACTAGAAGGGATGATGGCTGGTGGTCAAGACTTACGGAGTGGCAATCAAAGGAAGAAACGTGCCCTAGAGGATGCCCTTTATGAAGATGGAGGGATGAAAGCTGCAAAAAAAATGCAGGTGCTAAATGGATTTCTACACCACAGGACAGTGACTTGGGAAGGCTCAAATCCAGCAGTGAATTATGGCTCATCATGATGAATATATGAAACAAGAATGACATCTCCAGTTTGACACCATTGGAACCTCCTTTGCCAGTAGAAAAATATGATAATTAGTTTTTTACCCTTTTATCTGGCACCAAAACTGACACCTTTTTTTTACAAGAAGTCATGTTTGCATTGACCACAATACCTGCAGTCGGAATGCAAACAAAAAACACAACTCTGATAATGTATGCACTGCCCTTGAAATTGATTGGTCCACACCCGAGACAGCTTTTCTTAGAGCGTAGTCTCACATGGTGTTGGACCAGATGACGCCAAAAGGCGCACAACTCAAAGACAATGCACCATCAGAGTATGAGAGCTGGGGGTAAGCATTTACATTCATTTGAATCGACACACAGCCTCACATTAACACGTTTACCCAGCCATGCGATTGTACAGCAGGAGGTTGGGACTTACCTGTGTGTTCAAGTTGTTGGCAGCTCGCTGCATCTCACTGAGTGCGCGTTGCATGAACTGGAAAGCGTGACAGTCTACACAAGGGTGCACTGTGAAGGATCACACCCACACACACAAGGCACACACAAAGACAAATATCAGAATGAAGCGAGCGACATAGGCGCCCAGCACCACGACTGACTGCCTATGTCTCCCTAGTGCTGCTGTTTACACACCGCACAAGGTACTCGTTTAAGGCTGAGCCGACCTACGGAAGGCTCAAGACTGGTTCAAATATTCGCTGCCACTGTTATTGGTCGTGGGCGAGAATATAACTCGGGTCGCCGTGTTCGTAACACAGCACGCTGACCGCTGTGCCAACGCTCCCCCACATACACAACACACGCACACACATATGATGTCATACATAACAACAACTTCCATTCGCCACTAAGTGGCGGTGATGTCACCACGACGCTTGTGCCAGGCCATGTGCACCTTGAGGCCACGTGAAGTGTCGAACGCCCGCTGGCAGGAGGTCACGGGGCAGACCCAGGTGCCACGGGTCAACTGACTGAGATGACCGAGACGAGTGGCTGATGCACCACCTGTGCGCCCTACTGTGCCAACTTGCTGTGCTTTAGCCACCCGGCGCTCCGCTCGTTGTTGTGAGCGTCGCTCATCCGCCCTCCGTTGTTGTTGGAGGGTGACTGCTTCCAACTGCCCAGTAGCGTCCTTCACGAGCCTCCTCCACTGAGGCCGATCTTGACACCGCTGGCACCAGTCATCGGCAAGTCCACTCAGCTCCACATCTTCTTGTACCACGTCACTCCATTTCTTCTCTAGCCCATGTCGTGCCCATTTAGCCCTCTCTATCCGGCCGAACAAAAGCTGTTTAGGCATGCGGTGGCTGTGCATGCGGGCTACATGACCCAGCCAACGCAGCCTTGCCTGCCTGATGAGCTCACCGATGGGACTTTGCCCAAATCTTTCAAGGATTTCTGAGCTCCTCACACAATCCAGCCTCATTAAACCCAGGATGGATCGTAGGCAGGCCAGCCTAAATGTTTCTAACTGGCGAAGATGTTCCATTAGGGGGGTCCACGTTTCGCAAGCATAGAGAAGGGAGGGAATGACCGTGGCCAAGAAGACCTGAAGCTTCGTGCGGAGCGACAGACCAGGTAGCTTACACACAGTGATATGCAACCGATGAAAAGATATTGCCGCTCGACTGATTCGGAATGAGACCTCTGCTGCTAAACCGGAGTCGGTCATGAGCACACTACCCAGGTATGGGAAACTCTCCACTCTCTCCACAACTGCCCCATCACCGATTGGGAGTTGTGGGGGTGGAGTGTCCGATGGTACAAAATACCCAGGCAGGTGCTTCGTTTTGGTGGGGCTGATGGTAAGGCCCCACCTCTTAGTGGCACACTCCAGTTTCAGCAGGAGTGCCTCCAACTCCTCCTCTGAATGAGCCGCAATTACCAGGTCGTTGGCATACATGATGTATCTTCTTAGTTCTTTCGGTAAAGTCACGTAGAAGGGAAGTAATAAAATAATAAAAATAAAACATAATAAAATAAAATAATTCTCACGACGTTTCGGCTACAACGCAAGCAGCCGTCTTCAGGTGAAGAATGAGACAATGCCAAGCTAGGAGCTTATATATAAGCTGCGTTGGAGGTGGAGGAAAGAGCGCCTTAACAAAAGAATGTGCATATGAAGAGGAATTTAGCATATTCATGGAAAATGCATATTCATGAAAAATACATGATGTAGTTGACCAATAGGGAGCCATCCTTTGACCGCAGCCGGGCATCGATCAGCCTCCCATTGTATCTGTACCAGATGGAAATTCCTCCGGTACAGCTACTGAAGGCTTCACGAACTATGTGGTCGAAAAGATGTTAAATAATGTTGGAGCCAGAGGACATCCCTGTCGCACCCAAAGGTGTACAGGGAATGGCTCTGACTCTCGGCCACGTAGTTTAACCCGGGCCTGCTCACCATCATGAAGGTCCTTAATGAGCATGAGCAGAGGGTCAGGGACTCTGAAAGCACGAAGAACAACCCAGAGCCCAGGCCTACTGATGGTATCATAGGCCTTAACCAGGTCAATAAAGCAGAGATGTAGGTCTTGTTGGAATTCCCTACACCTCTGCTGCAGCAGATGGACAGAAAATATGGCATCTGTGCAGGACCGCCCTTTCCGGAAACCGCATTGGGGCTCTGCAAGCCTCTCCTCAGCATGCCTAGCAAGGCGATGTTGAATAATCCTTGCCAGGACCTTTCCCGGCACACTGAGGAGTGAGATGCCCCTGTAGTTGTTACAGTCTGCGCGTTCCCCCTTCTTAAAGAGGGGGACCACCAGGGCATCCTTCCAATCCTGCGGAACCCGTCCAGTGGTCCAGACTGTTGTTATGATGTCATGTAGGGCAGTCTGTGCACAAACGCCACCCTCCCTCAGCATTTCGCTTGGAAGATCATCTCTGCCCGGTGCCTTTACTGGTCTCAGACTCTGGATCGCGTTCAGTACTTCCTCAGCAGATGGCACCTCAGCCAGCCACTCATAGGGGGTGACTTCTTCTTCCAATATTTGAGGCACCGCAGCCTCAGCAGGGTCATCCCCACTTTGTGCCACGATGTTTTCCTGGCTGAGGGATTTCCCCTCCCCCAGGACCTCACCGAAATGCTCAGCAAATCTGCAAACCTGTTCCTGAGGGTCGGAGATTGGATCACCGTTTTTCCCCTAATGATGGTAATAGGTGTGGCGCTGCAGGTTACTTTTTTGATGGAGTTAAATAGGGATTTGTGATCACGGGCCTCCTCAGCAACCCGCGACCACCACCCGTCCTTGCAGCGCCTCACGCCTCTACGAACATCCGAGTGAAGGCTGCGGTAAGCCTCCTCATTCTCTGACGTGGGATGCTGTAGACGATTCGAGTGGGCCTGTCACTTCTTCTCAACCATCCTGAACACCTCCTCTGTCAGCCAGGGTCTCTGAGGAGGTCTGGATCACGTACCCAAAGCAGCCATTGTAGCTGCATGAGTCACAGTCCTAAACCTCGCCCATTTACCCTCGACATCAGGAGTGGGGGACGATGCCAACCCCAGCCGCAAGCGATAATTAAATTTTCGCTTGCAACTTTCATCAGCTAACTGAGACCAGGCCACCTTAGGTTGGAATGGGGTCCTGGGTGTACACCCACCACCGGAGTGGAAGAATGGTAGGCGCATCTTACAGATGACTAGTCGATGGTCAGAGGGCAGATCAGCTCCACGGTAGGTCCTGGTATCAAGGACATGGGCTCGCATCCGCTGGTCCATCACTATGTAGTCCAGCAGATGTTCTTGCTTGGACCCGGCATGCATTCATGATGTTGTGTGGATGTGCCGATGCCGGAACAGCGTGTTGGTAATTACAAGCCCATGGGCTGCACAAAAATCTAGCAGCCTCCTACCGTTGCTATTGAGCTGATCTGGCCCATGCCTTCCAATCACTCCAAACCAGGTGCCAGCATGATGACCAACTCAGGCATTGAAGTCACCCAACAAAATTACACTATCCCGAGGGGCCACTTTAGCCAGCACCTGTGATAGGAGGTCATAGAAGGCATCTGACTCATCGGCCTTGCCTGCATCCCTCCACGGATGTTCGTCTTCGGTGGGGGCATAAGTAACCACGACCACCACTCCTCGCCTCCGGTTGATGGGAAGGTGAGCCCAAAGTAGCCTGGGGCTTACAGCTTCCCATACTTTACCGCCACGCTCCCACATCTCCTTCATTCTTTTGTTCAGAAGAAGAGCCACACCCTGTTGTTTGGCAGTCTCCTGCCCCGAGTAGAGGACTGTCCACCCCTCATGGTGGCAGGAGCCAGAGCCGGTCCACCGGACCTCCTGTATGCCACAGAGATCCAGGCGGCAGAGGTCGCAAACGGGTTTTGATTCCTTACCCGTACCCGGCCGCACCAGGGTCGCAAACGGGTACCCGTACCCTACCCGATACCCGGCTACCCGTACCCGGCCGGGTATCGGGTAGGGTACGGGTACCCGATTGCGACCTCTGGGATGAAGCCATGTTGCAGGCGCGGGTGGGTTGATTCTAGGGACTTGAATTGTGAGAAGCGACAAGACGTTGGGAAATGAGTGACAAACGGTGACTCACCAGTGACTCACGGCCTACCCGTACCCGGCCGCACCAGGGTCGCAAACGGGTACCCGTACCCGGCCGGGTACGGGTAGCCGGGTATCGGGTAGGGAACGGGTATCGGGTACCCGGTTGCGACCTCTGCCAGGCGGTACCGGTCCAACTCCCGACAGAGGAGAGTAGCCTCTCCTCCGCAGCATGTCACACACACACACAACACGTCACACACTCACAGCACACTCACCATCCACACCACTCCAACAGCACACACAGAACATCATATCACACCAACACAGTACACAAATACAACACCAGCACAGCAATAAAATACAGTACATAACCACAGCACACCTTACAATCACGTAAATAGTATACAAATACAGCACACCTCACCAGCACAACACACCCAATAAAAACACAATGGCAGCACACCTCAAGAGCACACACAGTTCACAAACACAGCATTCCTCATCATCACACACTGCACCAAAGACAAATATCTCCCGTATAGCCTTAACGCATTGTTGGGGCAAGTGCGGTTAGCGAGCAGCACCTATGAAGGCCGGCACGGCACACGAGGGGTGGGTGGCCAGTCCCATGCCCGGCCGCCTTTGTCTCCTGAGTGGCGATGTTTACACACCGCAACAGGTACTCATTTGTGGCTGGGTCGACCTAGAGGAGGCCCATGACTGGTTTTGATAATCGTCACCGGTATTGGCCGTGAGCAGGACTCGAACTCGGGTCGCGGGGTATGTAGCGCAGTGCCCTGACCGCTACACTAATCGCTCCCCATACACACAGCACCACCACCACCATGACAATACACACAGCGCAGCCCCTCTGCACAGGAGCACAGCACGTCCCCGCAGCAGCGGCCCACGTCGCGTACGCAGCTCACGTACTCTCGCTGCCATCCTGCGCGGCACCCGAGACGGCTGCTGTTGTCGCTGCTGTTGCAGTCCAGGCGAGAAGCAGCGTCAGCACGACGACGACAACGGAAGGGAGGACGCGCTGCCGGGACATGTCTCCTCGGCGCGTGACGACGGGGGGATGAATCTTGATCTCGCGTGCCCGAGCACTGCTACTGCGGGCTCAGAGGGCTCGGAGGGCCGTCGTGTGGCGGTGCGTCCTCTGCGTGCGCTCACAAAGACGCGGCAGCCTCGCTGGGCGGGGCTGCCCCGCGCGCCCTCTCGGCGCTAATTGAGCCGCCACTCAGCTCCGCCGCTCACTCACCGTGACATTCAATTCAGTTTCAGTTTTCATTTATTTGGTATAGCCCTGTGAGCCATTCGGCTCTTGAATCGGGTGCAACCGCAACAAGCAAAAAACTAAAACATGAACAAGAAAACATCTTAAAGCGACTATGTGACTATGTGCAAACAGAAAATTCAAGAAAAGACAGCAAAATATTGCAGAAAAAGCACCGTACACCAACACATCACACGCGAGTCCGGGCACACCACCACCAACTACAACTACCCCCCCGCAGTGATGATGGCCACCCTTATGCCAGGCGCATACCAGGCTACTGGAGGACAAGAGCCTCTCCACGCCATGCGAGTCGGGCTAGGGCTATTTAAAACCGTACACTTCAGCACTATACTATTCTTGATAACAGTAATTTGTTCAGGAGATAGATGTCGATGGGGAGGTGTGCTTACCATGACGAGAGGGCTTCAAAAGAGAATCCGTGCGGTTTTGCTATCCCTCTATTCAAGGACGCACACTTCAGCACTGAACTAATTATTTAGTGAGAGTGCTGCGTTAGCAATGGTGCACAAGCACACATTTATCCCCCCCCCCCAAAAAAAAAATCAACGCATCCGACAATATATTGTACGTGTTTTCTCTTCAAGGCATTGTTATTGACTTCTGTATTGAGGTTTTTGTTATTCACATTTTAGCACCCTGGACAGCGCGGGTTCAAGGCGAGGAGCAAAGCCGCGGGAGCATGATACAGCTCATAGGTGACTGTATAATATACAAGACATATTCTGCTGTTTTCCAGTTGTAATCCTCTCAGATATCTCCGACTGTTTAGTGAACTTGTTGTACGTGACTTGCATTCATCATATTTATCTTGTGCTGTGAGTCGGATGCAGTCAATGGGGGCGTCGTGGTTAGCACTGTGGAGGAGGCTCGTGAAGGACGCTTCTGGCCAGTTGGAGGCAGTCGCCCTCCAACAACAACGGAGGGCAGAGGAGCGACGCTCACAACAACGAGCGGAGCGCCGGGTGGCTAAAGCACAGCAAGTTGGCACAGTAGGGGGCACAGGTGGCGCATCTGCCAGTCATCTCAGTCGGTCAACCCATGGCACCTGCTGGGTCTGTCCCGTGCCCTGTCAGCGAGTCTTCGACACTTCACGTGGCCTCAAAGTGCACCTAGCCTGGTACACAGGGACCGTGGTGTGGTTGACGTCACTTAATGGCGAATGATGGTTATTGGTATTCGTGGTTAACACACTGCGTTATGAACCCGGCGACCCATATTCGATTCCCAGCCACGGATACCAGCCATGAGTGATATCTGAGTCAGTCCTGGGCTTCCCCCTTCACCAACCCGCAGTGTGGTCAAACATCCACCACGACGTGGGAATGACTTCATCCACCAATATTATTACACATGGTTTCCTACATCAGCAGTTCTCCTGTTGTGTTTGTTTCACCTGATGACGATTGCTTGTGTTGCGATCGAAACGTCGTGATATTTCAATTTCTTTATTATTTTTCTATCTACGTGGTTTTACCGAAAGACCCAAAGAATAATATAATTACCGTATCGAGTGTAGGAGGCAATGTGATGACACACCATTAGCCGACCTACAATCGGCAAATAATCCCTTCATAAGTCATTTCTCCTCTACGGTATCCACGTTGACGAGATGTTAACTACCTCGATCTCGATCCTGACGCCTTTATATTTTGAGTTTGCATGTCTCTATCCTCGTGGTTCCTGGATTTTTCTCTGATTTATCCGGTTTTCCCCTCCACATTTAGAAACGTGCTTTTAAAGTTATGCTAAATGTCTACGTGAAATCCCACTTCGTTGAGCTATCATCATATGTGGTAAGGTGGCTTCTGAAAAAGAGACGTATAACTGTGGGCTTTACTTCGTAAAATAGTTTACTAGTTAGTTTAGTAATTTAGTATCCATGTTGCAGTCTGTGTCAACCAGCCCCAAAAGAACCCGGGGTTGTTGAAAGACAACCGGTAACTGTGTTAGAACTGCTTTCATAATCGGTTACCGGTTACGAAAGTAACGAATCGGTAGCCGTGTCCAGTTTTATCTTAGTAATTGCTCATTTTACTGTTGCCGAAAGGTTCTCCACTCGAGGAAAGCTCTCGGGGTATTTGGTCTACTCTTCCACGACGACACGACGGTGTTGGAGTTGGGCGTCCCCACACATTACCCCACCACACGCGACTTGTCAATTGAGCTGTGGAGAACCGACGTGCCGTACTCGATACCACTGCTGTGGGGTGGGCATTGGCAGGGGGACGGGGGCATTTAAATGTTTCTCTTAAGTTTAAAATGGTTGATGGGGAGGTTAAAGCCTCTATGTGTCGCTAGACTTTACAAATTCAGCCAAAAATGTTACTCAAAACTCAACATGTCAATATCACTCCCTTTAAATGGGAAATGCGACGTTTCTGGCCATGGCCCTTCTTCACAACACAATAAACACTGTTACGAAACACGTAATGTATTGAATATAATTAACGAACGCAGGATTCTCAATACAACGCTGGGGATCGCCCCTCGATCTGCATCATGTCCCGGTCCCCCGAGATGTCGCTTCTGTTTGCTTCGACAGAATCTCGTGGCGAGACAAACAAAAAAACAAAGTTGCTGGATTCGACGACAGTGCCATAGCCGTCAACCCATAATAAGGTTTGCCCCTATTCTGTTAATGGGAACACGAGTTTTCAGATTCATACGGCGTTCAGTCGTCTCAATACGTACACGGGATTTTGTAGGATGAACGTTGAGATGTATAATGACGACGGGGTGACACCAATAGGGTCTAAATTGGTCTGTTAATAGGGCACTGTGATGAGAGTTGGCAACTCGATTCCTTCTAGATTTGAAGCTTTCGTGACTGCAAGGATTCAAACTCGTAGGTTTTTTCGGTAAAGTCACGTAGGTATAACTAAATAATAAAAATAATAATATAAAGAATAATATAAATACAATAATAAATCAGGAGGCAACACAAGTCTCCGTCATCAGGTTGGACCGCGTCCCAACTCAATTCGTCTGCAACGCATCGTGTGATCTCATCTCGTTCGTCTCACCGACTCTTTTGCGAGCGTAACCAACACCACATCTACTGCACGTAGAATATCGCGTTGTGTTGTTGTTCGTGAATATCCTTCGTGGAGGATGGAAACGGATGAGGATTGCAATCGCCAGGGGGCAGCAGCAGCAGCAGGAGGAGCCGCATGGCCGCGCGGCCGCGCTGGTTCGCGTTCGGGTTCAACGCCTTCGGGCAGCTCGGCGCGGCGCGGAGCGATCCGCCGGAGCTTTGCGTGACCCGTCCGAGACGCGTCACGCTCGGGGCCCGCGGGAGGGCGGAGGCAGGAGACGACGAAGGGCAGCACGAGGAAGAAGACGGAGACGACGACGACGATGAGCAGGCCGTGGTTGACGTGGCCCCGGCTTGGGGCAGCGCGGCGCTGCGCGGTGAGCCCCGCGAAGTTCTTCTCGCCACGCTGTGGGACACGGGAATCGCAATTACGATGCTTTGTGATATTATTTTGTTGTTGTTGTTTGGGCCTCACGCTGCTGCTGAGCTTCTGGGGTTCGAGACCGAGGCATAGTTTGCTGGTTTAAAGAGAACCAGCTAAACTAACCCAACATTAACGCAGCGCTACTGCAAAGCCTCTATAGGCCGGCGAAATAAACTTTTTTTATTTAGACGGTAAACGTAATTGAAGTCTCCTTGTTTATTCCATTGGCTATTTGATCGCCCTCCCCGTGTTTTGTTTTAATAAACAACATCGCACAGTAGTTGTGTTTGTTTATATGAACGATGTTCCGGCCTTGTCGCCGAGGCTTCGTAGCGGCGCTGTTGGGGCCAGAGTGTGTGGGCTCGGTGCAAGTTGCCTCTCTCCGGGTCGATGAACATCTCTGAGGAGATTTATCATTTTAAAAATCACTGCGATAGGGGCAGCTGCAATGGATCAAGGTCGAATTGGCGCCGCTGTTGTGCGTGAAATAGGCGTTTTGTATGTTGAGGAGCGAGGTTAACGCGCTGCGCTACAAACCCCGAGTTCGATTCCCGCTCAAGATCCATTAACAGTCGCGATCCGAACCTGGGATGTCCTCTCGTTCTACTCCGCCTTTAACGAGTACCTGGCACGCTGTGTAAACATCGCCACGAGGGAGACAAAGGCGGTCGGGCGTGGTGATCGCCACCCCCCCCTCGTGTGGCCGTCCCGGCCCCCCTCCCGCTAACAGCACTTGACCCAACAGTCTGTGGCGGTGGTGGTGGGGATCTAAATCTATAGTCTTAGGTTTTTTCGGTAAAGTCACGTAGGTAAAAAAATAAAAATAGATATAAAATATTAAATGAAAATAAATCAATTAAATCACGACGTTTTGGAGGCAACACAAGTCTCCGTCTTCAGGTGGGACCGTCACAGCTAAATGTACTATTATTTGTTTTTTTTACCTACGTGACTTTACCGAAAAAACCTACGAGTATGAATCCTTGCAGTCACAAAAGCTTCAAATCTAGGGATCTAAATCTGCCTGGGTCACCACGCCTGCGCTGTGTGGGTCTCGATTCCTCCCATCGACTTCAAGTTCAAGTTCATTTATTAGGTATAGCCCTGTGAGCCATTCAGCTCTTGAATCGGGTGCAACCGCAACAAACAAAAAACAAAAACATGAACAAAAAACATCTTGGGTCACAAAGCGCCCACAGTCCACGTTCATCTCTGTTCCTGCAAACAAGCCCACTGTACATCTTCTTTCTGGTCTATGCCGCGTGTTTATGAGAAATACGCGTTACAAATAATTCAAATAAACGGCCACAAATAATTCAAATAAACGGCCAGGTATAAAAAAGGGACCATCCGCTAAAAGGTGTGAGATGTGCAAGGAGAGCCAAGTTATTCAAACCGTAAAGCCCAGTAAAGAT